TTGCAACTTCAGGGATCTTATCTATTCACGAACAGCTTGTAACACTCCAAAGAGAAAGGAAAACTTGAAATCACATCATATGACCCCTTTAATTTCTTTTCAACTGAAGAAAGAAAGACATTAATATCTTGGATGGCAAAATAGTCAACTATCGGGAAATTTTTATTTTGGAAATGAACTATTCCTTTAATGTTTATTTTCTGCACTGTCAGGGGATAAGAAGTATATCATGGGTCCCAAGCTGTCCAGTGTGGATGCCACAGTGTTCGGTCACCTTGCACAAGCCATGTGGACACTACCTGGCACACGGCCCGAGCAGCTCATTAAAGGTGAGCAAGACCTCACAACTGCAGTTTTGTAGTCCTAATAGGGCGATTCAAATAATTGGAAATATTTGGAGAGATTAATGCATGTCTTAATGTTTGTTGTTGTTGTATTTAAAGGGATAGTTCACCCAAAAAAAGAAAATTCTGTTATCATTTTTGTTCCAAACCTGTATAACTATTTCTTCCATCAAACACAAAAGGTTCTGAAATATAGTTCACAAGTCATATGGATTTCTTTTATGGTATTTTAGGGTGGTTTCTAGCGTTTCTGGAGCCTGACAGCACACAATGCCATTCAAAAAGTGCAATGTGAACATTCTGCCTAACATCTCCTTTTGTGTTCCAAGAAGAAAGAAAATTAAATGGGTTTGGAATCCGAATTTTCATTTTGGATGAACTATTCCTTTTAATTTTGTGCAATGGCATGGCAGTTTGTTAAATGTCCACTAGATGGCATTACAGGCATTTATTTATGCTTTTGCACATAAAAGTTCAGTCACACATAGAATGTGTGCACCACCTCAGCAGAATAGAGAGCATCAGTCTGGTTCCGGAAGTAAAAAAAATTACATTCATTTTATCCATTTTATCTGATTTTGAATGAAAACTACATTACCCATGATTCAGCAAAGAAATCTCCACAAGTCCGAAAATCACTGCGAAAAAAATTGCACCATAAGAGTCCCAATGAAGCACTTCGATTAATGTAATAGAGTCAGTCTTCCTCTCAGAATTTTTTAATATTTGTAAATATATGCATATATTTTGCAAAAAAATGTAAATATGTGAAAGACTTGTAGTTTTTGGCAATTTTCAGTTTTCAATTAAAAAAAAAAAAAAAGAAAAACCAAAGTTTCTAAAGTTGTGAATTACCCTTGTAGCTGGTTGGTTTGGTTCATTGCCTATAACGTTTAAACAAACACTTTTTAAAAATCCCTTTGGGTAAAATGAATGGGGAAAAATACTTCAGGAGCTAAGCCTCTTGAAAAAGTGGATGGGCTTTATTACACCCTACAGAAATATGTTGCTGTATTCTGGAGTGGAGACGCAATGGAACAAAAATCAGCCATTCAGCAGACCATGTTTGACAGCTTTCAAGCTGCACAATGAACAACTATGTCTGTCCACAGGAGAACTGATCAACCTCGCCATGTACTGTGAGCGCATACGGAGGAAGTTCTGGCCCGAGTGGTTTGTGGACTTAGAGGACTTCTGTTACGACAGCGACAATGACACCAGCAGCGGGACGCCCACCTGCATGCTGGACCTTGGTCTCTTTTCTAGGACAGACACTTTAGAGGATAGCGATCTAAGCCTCCCGTCACACAGTAATACACACTCGCAAGACTCAGACCACTCCGGACGCTCGCTCTCAGACTCTGACATTGAAGCAGATGGCTCGGATGTGGAGCAGCAGGTCAAGGGTGAAATCTAATAGAGGTTGCTTTTTATCTGGTGTAACAGAGCATTTTGCGATGTGTAGTGGCTCCAAAACTTATATTGATATGTCTGACCTGTATGAATCGCACTTTGATGAACCTGAATTAAAAACAAAATGCGTGTATACAACGTGACGTCAGTCATGGACATGTGCACCTTAAGATTTACACCACAGAAGTTGGACGCATGTAAAAGATCATTCATTCTGCCTTCATCCCTCTCAGAACTGTTTATATGTCCACGGTTTCAGTATGATTTCTAATTAACTTTCATTTCAAGGAAACAAACATTTCGTGATTTTTCAGTCCAATCAATACGTCTGTTTTCTCTCGAACTTTAATCAAACATTTGCTCCGGAACACAATCATGTAGCAAAACACTAGCTTGCATGATTCTAGGATGTTTGTGCGAAGTTGACAATTTACCTTTTTTTGACAGACTGATTTCCTTTGTGCAACCTGAAAGTAAATCTGTGAATTCCTCCCTCCTGTTGAAACCTAATAATTCCCGCTCCCAGATCAGCTCAAGTACATAAAATAGAAATGAAGATGGATAAAAGGATTTAGGAAGCATTTAATCCCTGTTCTACCCGCTTAAACACAAAAAAATAACAAAATGAGAATCCAGTCCTCACAAATATTAAGGCTAATACAATAGAACTGAATCCCTTTCTGTCAGTTTTATTTGTTAGGGCTCCAGTGTGTGTCATCAGTGTCAGACTCTTGATCAGTCTGAATGGTGCTTACTGCCTGTGTGCCTGATTGCAACCATTTGTGCATGTGTGACAGCCTTTCCTCTTCATCCCTGTGTGTCTCTTTGTGTTCGATTCTGTAATACAGACCTGTTTGCTTGTCACCACTTGAGGGCACTGTGACCATTCACATGTTGAGTGGGTCCTATGCAGCCACTTGTATTGGCGTTGCGAGCATCCCTCGCTTCAAGCTTCTGCCTTAAAATAACGTTTTAAATATTAATAACAACAGTGAACACTAAACGGTCAACTTTAATGGCTTAGGAGTCTGATTATACATTTTTCTTTATCCATGTGTGTGATTTGTGTACCAAAGTGTAGTTCGAGCATACTTGAGCAGATTTGCCTTAGTTGAGGGAAAATTGTTGTGATCAATTGCGGCATGATGAGTTTACCCTCTTTCTGTTGAATTTACTTGAAGCCCAAGCCTGTACTAAATGAATTTATTTAAATCTCTATAATGTTTGATTTGTTACGCAGAATTCTATCGTTTTCTTTCCATATTGTTGTTTTGCACATTTTAGATTATTGAAAGACTTTGGACAATGTAAAGATATGGATTGAAACATTAGAGGACATAAAGCAGGGTCCATACAATCAGTGAGATATGCTATATGTGAGTGTGTATGATATACAGTAGTTATCTATAATACATCATTTACCTGCATGTGTTTGTGTGTGCGTCTATATGTGTAAGCTGGTGTAAAGTTCACCAGTGGAAAGTTTCTATCAAATATTTATTCCCTGTATAGAATTGAGGTTAAAGGTAAGTCCCTTATCAATTTTGTGTTAATATTATTTAATTTGCAATTTATTTTTTGGATAAATAGTAAAAAAAAAAATTAGTGACTTAAGGAGATATACACCTAAAAATGGTATTTTCAATCCGTTATAAATAACACTTGCAGCAAAATTCACATTCAAATACATGCATTAAGCAATGCATTAAAATTTTACCCTGTGATGTGTTTATTATAGACTTTTAGAGATGTGTCTGTGTTGGGAATATAGCTGGATTATGTTCTCATAAGATGTCAGTTTTGCTATAGATCTGATAGTAGATCTTGAAGCCATATTAGAGAGTAATTTTCCTGTTTGTGGAAACAAAATGATGGTTATATATAAGATTCTACCTGATCTGATTCAGCTATAAAATACTGTGCACAACTGAGACTCTCGTGAGTGCTTGGTTATCCTGAACTGAGTGGTTGTTTGACAATGAATGCTCCAAAACATCAATTAAAATAGCTGTGGCAATTTAAATGTATGTATGAGGAATATTTATTTTTTTCTTTCAAACCAGTTGTGCAAGAATTACCTCAGTTGTTATGTTATTTGTTAGTTTGGTATAAATTTAGTTCAATGCTTTTGTTTTCCACTTCTGCTTTTATTAGGTATTATGCACCAGTTCTGGCCCTCAAATTTGATTGATCGAGTGGTGCTCTCTTAAACTTTTACTTTTTGTGTCACTGTTTGTCTCTGTTTGTGGGTTCCCGACAGACTGTGCATCTGTGCATTAGTTTACTTCACATTGAAATTTACTTCAGCCGATTAGTTAAAAAAACTGATTTATGCAGGAATGAAGCAAGTGACTGTTTTTCTGAGTGAGTAGTTGAATCATTCACTGTACAACTTTGTTCACAACACAGATTCACTTAGAAACTAAACAAGTGACTGTTTTTAATGAGTGAATCATTAACTGTACCGATTAGTTTAAAACGCTGATTTATTCAGGTATGAAACAATGTGACTATCACATACTCTCTGAGTAGGTATTTCCATCAGAGGTCATTATAACTTTTGCTTATGAATACTGTGAATTTACTTCTGTATTCACATTCTGTTTTTCACCTATTATATGGTAGGGAAGTATTTCAGATGCAGCCACTGTTTTTATGAGTATCATTCATTGTACCAATTTGTTCAAAACACTGATTCATTCAGGAACAAAACCGGCGACTTGTTTTTATGAGTGAGTCACTGATTCATTCACTGTACTGATTGGTTTGAAACCTTGCTTCCTTCACAAACGAAACATACTACTGAACATTACGTTGACAACAGTATTTTCATTGGTGAAGCAAAAATAGACCTGGCAATATTGTGTCTAAAATGTAAGTTATTTGGTCTCGTTTGTTTAACTTTTGTATCATCTTTTGTGCTGATATTCATAACAACAATGCTCTTGCTCGCATGATATTGCTTAAATATAGAATTTAATATTCAAAAAGTCAATGTGAATGTTTTCCAACCTGTGTATGCATATGTGTATGCGTGTGTGTTTAGCATGAGCTACCATCTTTTCAATCAGGCTAATGAGCGGCAGCCATCCATGCGCAGAGGAGGGCTGATTATGGCGTTTCCAGGCACTGGAGACGTGCAGAGGAAACAGCAGGGGAGAGAGAGGGAGATAGAGAGACGAGAAGAGAAACAGGAGAGGGAGAGGGGCCACGGATCAGGAACCAGGTTCCCGCGGGATGGAGCAGGTGCAGGCTGCAAGCAAGGCCTTTGGGCCCGACGGGGCAGCCAGAGCTTAAAACAATCTGCATAGTACCTTCTTTTAATTTAGGCTCTTCTACACCCCATCTCTCTCTCTCTCTTTCTCGCTCTTACTGCTGCTTAACAGATCAGTGCTCCACAAAGAGGGGTAAACAGAGAGAGGCAAATTAAAAAGGGAACTCCCCTGATACCCCAAAACAAATTAGTGCAAACAAATTACACGGAGTCAACACACAAACACTGCAGCATCTGTGGCTTTGGACTGAGGATGGCAGCGGCAGGCATAGTCTGCGCACCCGCTCGGAACCAAGACAAACATCCAGCAATAGGGAGACTTCAGGTCATTCCACTTTCAGACCCTGGAGCGAATCCCTTTTAAAGCTCCTGTTTGTTCCTGCTAACAGACAAAAGCGTCATGCGCATTTAAACGTGCCCCCTCAGATATTTGAGCCCCAAAATATTTGTATTTTTAACAGATAAGTAACAAATACAATTCTGTGCCATCATCTACCTACTCTCATGTCAATCCCAAACACTTTTTACTGTGGAAAATTAAGTAGATATTATCAATTCAGATCAAGATTTTTTTTAAAGAGTTGCATATATAAATATATAAAAACTAATATTTTGTATACATATTTTAATATACCATCATTCAAAAGTTTATGATCTGTAAGCTTTTTTTTTAGAAGTTTTGATCTATTTGATCAAAAATATAGTAAAAACATTAATATTATGAAATATTATTACAATTTAAAATAACTTTTCTATTTTAATGTGTTACAGTGACATTGTTTTAAATCAAAAGAACAGCATTTATTTTAAATGTAAATCTTTTGTAGCATTAGAAATGTCTTGACTGTCACTTTTGATCAAATTAGTGCATCCTTGAATAAAAGAAAGATCTGAACATATCTTACAGCTAAATGATGTACTAATTACTAATTATGTGCTGTTACTTTGTGTTAGGTGTCACTCTGATATGCAAAAACAGGATAGATATGTAACATATTCTTTCATAACTGAGTTTGGTTTCAAAAAAGTTTGTGTGTGTGTGTGTGTGTGTGTGTGTGTGTGAGTGTGTGTGTGTGTGTGTGTGTGTGTGTGTGTGTGTGTTTAAATGGTTTAGAATAAAATCAGTCTTATGGGTAATCAGCCTCTAGGAAAATGGCAGAGACTAATGTAGATTCTCTCTGCCATACACTTTCATTTATTAATTTAGTCATCTGTTCACTTGTTTGAACACTGGCTCTAGCAAAAGTCACAAACACAGCTGAAAGTCAACACATATATTCCAGACTCCATATGGAACATACTTCCTTCACATCGTATGGAATAAACAAGGAATTGCAAGGCTGTAAATCAGGATATCTGGAATCCAGCCCGTATTATGTCTCGATCCCATTCTATTTCCCTGTCTCTCCAATCTGTCCTATAAAATTAAATGCACAAAGCCCATAACCATAAATTTGAAGAATATCTAAAATCACTGCCCATTTCTTTGAATTGTTATGTGTATGCTTCTGTTTCTCAATCTGTGTGTGTGTGTGTGTGTGTGTGTGTGTTATATATGAAAAAAATCATATCTGGCTTTATCCTCAGGCCCCCTGGCCACCTGGCAGAGACAGTGACCCTTCCATCTGCCCCCCGCTGTCTTCCTGTTTGTGTGTGTTTTGTGGATCCAGAGAGATGGGAATAAAGCTGCCCACACGGGCCCGGAGTGCAGCGCTGCATGTGCCAGGTGACTCCACAGGCCCTCTTGAAGACATGCTCCCCTCATCTTTGGCAGCCAGGCTCAGGTGCGGCTCATAAAGACTGGGCTACGATGCCAACAGGTGGCGCTGTTTTCTTCCCCAATTATGCCTTTGTTTGCTGGTTGGCATCCAGTTTGTTTTGGACGAGTCCCCTCACCCGCTGGACAAGAGCCAGGGGGAGTTTTGTATATGTGTGGGCTAGTCTTTCCACCAACATCGCTTCTCAAAGCCTCCTCGGACAGAGCCAGAAACGATAAGCTCACGGTAAGCTCCTGTTTTGAATCGAATGTGAATGTGCCACGTTTTTGATCATATTCTTTGCGAAGACCCACATATGTCTGACCATTTGTCTCGCAAATAGATGACGACAGAGAAGCCACTCTCTCTTTTGTTGCCTGTGACTTACCGCCGAGGGTACGTGTTCACTGACCTACAGCTTTTCAAGATCTGTTCTGCAAGGACTTCTTCAACCCCCGTCGTCTCGGTGGATTAGAGCAGGTACTTTTTCAAAAGAGAGAGGGCGAGTCACATTTTTGATACCCCTGACTGAAAGGGGCATCGGTGCAACAGAGCAGGGCCCCATCCCAGAATCCCCTACTTTTCCCTCATTATCTCCTTCCCCAAGCTGCTGTTCCTCTTCCCCTGGATGTTATCTTCAGCTGCTTATGCCCTAATACCACAATTGTTGTTCTCTAAAAACAATCATTAGCAATCCCATTGAGGCTGAGGGGTTTTTAGCAGCTTTCTTTCTCTCTCTCCTGATGGTTTCTCCTAGCTCTTTATCTCTCCCTTCTCTTTTTTCCCTCCTGAAAACAGAGGGATATTGGCAAAGCCTCTTTAAACTCTCTAGCATTACGGTGGATTATTTTGTGCTGAGACCCTTGGACATGGTTTTTTTTTTCCCTCTGTCTTTTATTATTTTCCTCACTTCATGGCTGAGGCAGACACGCTAGGTAAACATTTTGGCGTCACACTCGATTGCATCCCAGAAATAAAAAAACGCAGAAACAATGGGCCCGGGACACTGACACGCTAAGACCTTGGCTCTGGGGGGATGGCTTGCACGCTGCATGACAGCACGGCCCTGGCGGGCAGAACAATGCCGGCCTGCATTCTTTGGTGTGTGCGCTTGGAGCGGCACGCTTTAGACTATCTGCTCTAGGCCATCTGTCTATCCTCCTCCTCTTCTCTCACCCCACTGCCACGGCGGATTTGAACTTGGCTCAATTATTCATCTGTTTACAAACATGAGCGCAAACAGAACAGTTAGATCAGTTGGGCGTGGGCCTTTTTTGGGGGGCACTGATACTGAAAGTTTTCCCAAAGGCGGCACAGTGTAAGAGATTTATTTCGCGGTTGCAGGTACTCAAGCGGCGACCTGCTGCAACGACGGCAGACGTGCAACA